CTATATAAATATGTATATAGACATATACATACACACACACACACACACACACACATATATATATATATACGCATAGATATAGATTTATTTGTAATATAGCGATACAAGTTGTAGTCCCCATATACCTTAACTCGGTTCTTTTCAAAAAATATCACTACAGTGGAGCCGCCAAATGCGAAATATCCATGTTCGTCGCCGCGTTTTACCTATAATGGAATACAGAAGACATAGTCTGATTGTAAGGCAATGATTTTGAATTTGCATTTCCGTTCATTTGCGGATATTTACCAGTATATCGAACAGCTATTATTAGTTGTTGAAAAGATAGTTTGCCACATTGAATTGAAGGTTAGTTACGCATAATTCGTCTATATTTACATTTGTGCTGGCAGTATATTCAGTTCTGGTTTCTTCCACAAAACAGTAAACACAACTGTACATGATGGCTGATGACTGATACAGAGATCCAGTCACAATCTGAAGCTAATAATTCTAAAAGGGAATGCCATTGAACAATGAACATATGTCATATCTGGAAAGAATGTTGAAAGGGGTGAAAGGGGGTGGGCATAAAAATATAAAAAATAGAAAGTGTCGCAGTTTTTCACTCCAGCTGTGGCCAGCCTGTGGGCCTGTGCCCTGTGGGCGGCTGTGGCCTGAGCCTTCGGCCTATAGTCACTCCCCTGTACCCACTACCCAGTGGCCCTGCCTGGTAACCTGTGTGACTCTCTGCGCCTCACAGGCTCAGAATGACCCAGACGTTCAGTACCTCACAGGCTCCAGTCTCACAGTCACAGTCTCACAGCCCACACACAGGTGGAGTCACAAAAATGAAAAAGGAGACGTGCCGGCGGTGCCGCGTGTCGACTGCCGGGAACACCCCCCCCAAAAAACCAAACAACAAATGGTGTCACCTGCGGCTGCGGGCTCAGGCCCAAAGCTGTGGCTGCGAAGTGCAAGTCTCAGACTGCAACTTTGCAGTTGCACTTCAAAAAAACAAAGCTTGCCGTGCAGTTTGCAAGATAGTTTGTAGAAAAAAGAACAAAAAACAAACAAATATTGTGCATGAGGAGTTGAAGAGACTCAGAGAGGGCCGTGAAATTTAAATCACAGCGAGGCCAGCGAGTAGTGGTTTTCTTAAAAAAAACAAATGTAGACTCAAAGAACATAAAAACAATAGGCTTCTCTCTCTAAGAGAGAGAGAGAGAGGGCTGTGCAGTGCTTTAAATTTATTTTTTTTAGAAAAAAATACAAATACATACACAAATTACTGTTCTATTTTCAGAAGGCTATGAAATTAGTATCACAGATAAAAAACACACAACACAAGCCGACACAAGACCATGGGCTACGGGCTACGGCATACTAAATAAAACAAGAGTACAAAAAAATTTGTTGTGGTGTTTGACTGTTTGTGTAGTTCGTTTGTATCTATTTGTTCTTAAAAACAACAACAACAAAATAAACTTTTTAGATGTTATTTATGTCAATTTAGAAGGATATTTTTGTATTTATATATTTATAAATACCCTCCTAAATTGTTTCATAGAATGCTATTTATGCCTAAATTCAACCACAAAGTAGTATATATAATAAAACAATAAAAGTTTTACGTAAATATAAAAATAAAGAAGAGCCCAACGAATCATTTCACTTCATTTTTGTATGAACATATAAAACCTACAAGATGGAAGACATTTAAAGGGCTGACCTTTTAAAAACAATAAAATAGAAGACATTTGAGGAATCGACATTTTAAAACCTAATAGAAAGCAAGACACTTAAGAGATCGTCCACACAATCGTTTCACTCAGGAATGTTCATAATGATCATTTGTAAGTTGTAACATCCACTAATCGGTGAATGATGTCTTGACAACATTCATCGATTAATCTTCTTTGCTCAGATATATTCATTATGATCATTTCCGAACATTCCCCAATCGTTGACTCAGTTGAAATGTTAAACGAGTAAACGAAACCACATCTAGGCGTGGATAGCTATATACGGATCCTCATACGATATACATACTATCCGCTCACCGATGAGGGTTAAACTCTTGTCTACAAACCAGTTCACTTTAAAAACTCTTGTGTTTACAGACCAATTCACTTTGAACCGATCACTGCGCGGACTAGTGCGTGTCATTGTGGGTTCGTACCAATCGACTATGGAGTATCCGAGAAGGGGAGCGGACTCTCGGTGCCACGCCCACAACATTTGTTAGCGAATCATCGACAACTGTGCACTATCAACATAGGAAAGCTGTATGTATCGAGCACAAACACATCAACCTTCCTCTTTAAAAGCACCTATCATTGAGTCCTCAGTCCTGGAACACGGACACTTGGTTGGAAGAATTTAACAACACAATTTCTGTAGAGAATAGACATCGAATGCATAATATCCGACACACCTCTGATCCGTCCTCGGCTGTGATGTTTATTGAACCCACCATGGTAGCACCCACGCAGACCATCATGACCAGTCCAAAATCTTTTGTATGCACTTCACAGATCTCTCTGCGTGCGTGTCAGTGTGAAGTGTATGTTTTAAAGTAAAGCGGTAAAAGTACAAGTAAAATTGCAGATACGTAACCAAGCGAAATACGTACTTAAATGCATGGATCAGTTCAATTTAAGCCTGATCACAATCCGGGACTCTGATCAAATGCCGTTTACGTTAGAAAGAAAATAAAAGTAATCTTGCATGTCACGTTAGACCATTGACTTCAGTACAACGGCTATGTTTTGGGACAATCCAATCCAATGCAAATACCACTTTTACGACAAAACGAACCTTGACCTGGCTGGTATTTACGCTTTGAGCTACTTCGGATATGCAGTATATTTAATATGAAATAGCCCATTTCTGTCATGAATAAGCAACATATTAAAACGCTACATCTTGCCCACGTGGTATTGCGCACACAGACTAGACGCGTGACTAGTATATATAGGGACAGCAGGGAATATGAGAAGCCTCAAATTCGAACAAAATGCCACAGTTTACGGTAGAAAATTGTACACGCGCGCGTGTTAGAGTTATCCGAGAGTGACCTCACCTTTTATTTGCCGGGTAAACATCCAGCTTCTCTTTGATGGCCACGGGGTTGACTGTGTATAGGGGGCCATCCACTGCAGCAGTATGAGTTAAGAGTGTGGACATATTCTGCGTGAGACATCAGCCAGTGCAAGGGTATTACTTGAAGTACGAAAACGCTAACATGCTGTATGAGGGACCATCCACTGCAGCAAAATATGTGAGCGTATCAGAACGCATTCTCGATAAGAAACTCGCTAATTTCCTATAGAGTGCATTTGGAAGTAGGGGAGCTCTTTCTGTAGATAAATTTAGTAAACGCCACTAAGAGAGTATACGAGAAAGCATGTACAAAAATTGGAAAGAAGAGACTAGCCAAAGCAACAGAATATCCGAAGTATAACGCCGCAAACTCACGCGTGGTTGTATCAGAAATATTATGTTTGATTGTAGCGTGACAACACAGGGTGTGTACAGGAGCAGTCACTGCAGGACGTCAAGAACGATCATCGCGAAGCATACCAACACACTTCGTTTTGTGAAATACGTACGATCATGAAGTGTTGAAATAAACTACAAAAACATTACTGGTTTCCATATA